GTTTTTTGCTACAGGTGCGTGCAGAATGCGGCGGAATGAGTTGGGGAGGGTCTGGTGGAACAGCCTGTGGAAGCGATGAAATATGATGAAATCATATGATTTTAACACTTGGAGGTTCCTTCTTTGTTTGCAGCCCTAGTGATGGCCAAGCATTTCCATGTTCATGTTTGGCAAGCCTGAGTATTCCACTACTCTTTGCGCAGCCATTTCCTCGCGAGGAGCGGATGACTGGCCCCTTGCCTATCTATTTCCGATGCGCTTCATGCTCCTCGCCTGCCCTAGCCGTGCACTGCTCACTGCTCACCGCGGTCAGGCCCCGGATTCATGCCTGTTGAGAGGTCAAACCGATGCCTGTACGCAGAATCTACCGACCCGCGTACACACATCTAGCTCCGTCCTCAGCTATTTTGCTCTGGTCAGATGAGCATCTTGATGAGTCTGCGCGTATAATCTACTGACCCGCATACGCGCATCTAGCTCCGTCTTCCGCTATTTGTTACCCCATAGGGTGTGCTGCCACTGGCTCAGTGCCATGCCAGCGCAACACGCGAAGGCCCCCAAGCAAGCTCAGGAAGACACTTCCCCAACAAAAATTGATGTGACAAGCAAGTCTCCAGTTGGAGACATATCAGTTGTCACACTGATAAGAACAGATACTACACTTGATCATAGCCAAAACTTGCGGCACTTCCCACAGAGTTGCCACGTCTTACCGGGGGTAGATGTGCCCTGGCACCGTGGCACCGTGGCACGTCCACGACTTCGTGGGCCCTATGACCTCGGTCGACCTCGGTCGCTTCGGTCGGCCCGAAACCAGGGACCGGTTCTGAGGATGCTGAGGACGCTGCGTGCACTCCACAGGTGGCACAATCAGTTGCACAATCATAATATAATCATCATAATCATAAAACAACAATAAATGACACTATTAGACTGTATGTATGGAGTACATGCATGCCCTGAGCCAAAAAGAGCCGGGTCTTGGGACAAACCTCGAGTTGTGGGGGTATGACGAACAAGAAGCTACTAGGGGCTCCTGGCATCGCTGCTAGGAGCAAGGACGCTACTAGGGGCTCCTGGCCTTACTACTAGGAACAAGAAGCTACTAGGGGCTCCGGTACCTCAGGTTGTCCCTGAAGATTTCCTCTTCAAGGCTTTTGAGCGTTCCATTTGCTTTCGCTACGGTGATTATGTTACACTGATGGCATATTTTCATAGTTGTTAATGAATAGGTTCACAAGCATTTTATCCCAATCTTTCCAGAGGCTCTTGAAAATCTTAAGCCAGTTGAACCCTGCATGTTTACCTCTACGATTTTGGACACTTTGGACTTCTTCTCGGTCACAACGAGCTCTCAACAGGCGACGACATCGGACGTAGAGTCGACGACTCAGGTGATTTGCCCCTGCAGCAAGAGACTCTGATGCGGAAGCTTCAAGTCCTTGCACCATTTGTTTGCTGGGAGGAATGCCGAGAGGACGCCCGGCATTTGAAAAAAGGCATCGGCAGTTTCAACATGTTGCCACTTGAAATTCCTTCCGTCGGTTGAAAAGGGTATAGTCTGGGCTCCCTGTCTCGCGGTTCATTGTTTGGGATTGCATGTTTGAAGCCTTTCCCAGGCTTTGGTGCCTTGATTTTCAGACAGGTTGAAAGGCAGGGTTCAAGCCATCATGGGCAGCTTTGGAATTAGCCAATTAGCCTGGTTGCAGCAGCACCTGTTTCTCCCGTGCCCCTGTTTCCCCCACTCGCAGAAACCACCTGTTTCCCCCAGTTTAAAGATTTCCACTGATGTCACTTTTTGTCATGACACCTTTTCACGATCGCAGAGCGCTCTTGAGCTGGTTCAAAAGTCCGTCCTACCGACTTTGGTAGCGGAGCCCCGGCCGTCCGGGGCTCCTGCGTTCGCCATTGGCCGCCTGGCGCCTTCGGCGCCGCCCGGCGCGATCCCGGGCCCGCTGCGCTGCCCGCGCTGCTTCGCTCTCGTCGCCGCCACGACGACGATCCTTTTTTGCTGTCTCACAAATTTGGCCATTTTGGTCCTGTGCATTTGTTCTTCGGCTCCGAGGGCACCTGTGAAAGCAGCCAATTTTGCGCCCGTGAAAGCTCCCGAGTACACGACCCTGGAGGTGATTGACCTGCACTCCATCTTCCTGAATCAGACGCTGACCATTGACATCTCCCTGAATTTGCAGGACTACCCGATTCAGGACACCTTCACGTACCGGGACTTTGCCCGTGATCTGTTCACGATGGCCCAGCCGCTCCTTGGCATACCTTTGGCTGAGTTTCGTCGCGACGTACCACCTGGTTGGGCTCCGAACCTTCCAGACTACAGCTTGAAGTCTTATTTTGACAAACTTCGCCTCTGGTACAGGCTCTACCAAGGCCCTGACGAACAAGTAGGTCCTCTACTTGCGGGACGCCTTCAAGGAAGAGCCCAGAAGATTGCCATGGGTCTCAAACTGGTTCGCCCTGACGGAACCTACGATGTGGGAGACAGTGCTCTTGTTCGGCTGTCCACGGACGAGGTTCGAGACCCCATGGACCCGAATGTCATCTTGCAGCACGCAATCCCAAGTGGAGTTCAAGCTCTCGCGAACGCCCTCCGTGAGACCTTCGGTCAGTCTGACCAGGAGTTGGCCACCCACAGTTTGGAGCAATTCTTCCTCTTCAAAAGAGGCAAACTTTCGATGCACGAATATGCATCAGAATGGGAGCTTCGCTATGAGTCTGCTCAGCGCCACTCAGGCTTGGAGATCAACGACGTCGCCAAGAGCTTCCTATTTTTCCAAAGTTCTGGATTGCCGAACAAGTTCATTGAGGATGTCAAGATCCAGATCCAAGGCGACATGTCTCGTTTTGAGGAAGCCAAGCGCCTGACCTTGCGCCTGAGCAATCGGAGTAACCAGCATGCTCTGTCCCAGGACCTGTATACTGATCAGGCCTCTGAGTTCTTCTCCACTCCATCCTCGTCATGGAACACCATGGACTACGACACCTACTATGACGATTGGTCATGGCAAGATGACCCTTGGCAAGCATATCCAGAAGATCCCTGGACTGGCTATGCAGAGGATGAATGGTGGCAAGAAGACGATTCCTGGTCGCCTACGGCATCAGAGTGGCACACCCCTGAGGAGTATGTCATCCATGACGACCAGCATGAGACAGAGCAAGCCGCCGAAGCCCCTGAGACCTACTATGAGGACGAGGACTACTACCAGCAGAAGAGTGGCTGTCATGTCTGTGGCAGTCGATGGCACCTGGCCGCACAGTGTCCCGTCAGAGACAAAGGAAAAGGCGGCTATGGAGGAGGAAAATCCTCCTGGAGGCCAAAAGGCAAAGGCAAGAGCAAAGGAAAGAAGGGCAAGGGCAAAAGCAAGTCATTCAAGGGCAAAGGCAAGTTCAAAGGTGGCAACAAGGGCTACTTCAACGACATCGACTACAGTGCCCAACGAAGTCAACCTGAACAAGGACTTTCTCTGAGTCCTCCAGCTTCATCGTCTTTTGCCACTGAGGTGAAGCCCATCCATATGACACCACCGAGGACTGGAGAGTTGCTTCCTTGGCAAGAGAAGAAAGTGACCTTTGCTGAAGATCAAGAAGATGAAGAAGCTCCAGCTCCATCTGAGCCAGTTCGCAAGCAACTTGCTTTTGCCACCCATCTTCATGCAAGCTCTGAGGTCTACCACATGGTGAAAGGCGTCAAACGCCGTGGCTTGCTGATTGACCCTGGCGCTGCCGCAGGTTTGGTTGGCAGCGAGACCCTTCGTGACCTCCTAGCCAGCTGCTACCAGGACAAGCAGAAGGCAGTGACATGGTCTGCATCAGATGCCACTATCACCGGCATCTCAGGTCAGCCAGACAAAGCTCTTGGACGAGTTCATCTGAAGCTGCCTTTCAAGAACATGGAAGCCACCTACACCGCCGATGTCATTGGCAAAGAAGGCAGCCGCTGTCCCGCTCTGGTTGGCAACCCTGCTCTATGTGCGATGTACGCCTCTCTGCACTCACGATGGTTCACCAACGATGATGGACTTCTGGTTGCCTGGGACACTTCCAAGAGCGAGCATCCGCAGATGAACCTCTTCCGAGTTCTTCTCACCGACAGTGGTCACTACCTGCTGCCTTTGGATGAAGATGCTGGCATCTGCGATCAGCAACCTGAAGCCTTTCACTTCATCAAGCACCTCTCTGACGTCTCCCATCGTGCATGGCCAGATCATGCATACACCTTCTGGCAGAACGTGACTGCCCAAGGACCGGAACGTCAGTGGAGCACTCATGGGACACAAGTTCGATCCCTTCAAGATGATCACCCGCTGACTAGTCTCATGAGTGAGCAGAACAAGAACCACGACATTGATACCTCATGTTCCACGTCACCGATCAAGGACCACGACACATCAACATTACCTATCACATCATCCACCTCAGATATCACTTCCACTGGAGGAGTTGAGGCTGCAGACAATCTCTACCAATGTGATGACGCTCATAAGGAGCATAAGTGTGAATGTTGCCAGAGTCACAACACTCCAAGCTCCACGACACCTGAACAGGTCACATCATGTTCCACAACAGCCACCTCATGTTCCACAACACCTGGAGGAGTTGAGGCTGCAGACAAGGACTACCAAGAGAAGAAAGATAGTGTTGTGACATCTCAGTTGATGGCCACAAATCTGAGTGAGCTTCCACTGTACGTTGATGACTCTGTTCCACCTCACCTCTCACAAGAAGATCAGCAGAAGCTCAAGAAGGACTACAAGGCCATGCCAGAGGAATTCTACCGCCACTCCAATCGCAGAGTCGTGACGCCAGACACCTTTCCTGCATGGTTCAAGGAAGCCAAGCGACATGGAGTCAAGTGGCAGATTTGGGAGCTCTTCTCCGGCTCTGGAAGATTTTCTCTCCTGTGCACATTGGCTGGTTTGATGGCTGGTTTTCCTGTCGACTTCCGCTATGGCTGGGACATTGGCAATCCAGCACATCAAGACATGCTTTGGAGCGCCTACACCACCTTCGAGCCTGAAGTGATCTTTGGCTCTCCTCGCTGCAAGTTCTGGAGCATAGCCGCATCGAGACGAGATCGACATCAACTTCTACAAGATCGAGAGAAGGACAGATCGGCTTTAGTGTTCCTTCAACGCCTGTATGCTGAACAGGTGAAGAAGTCTCGAGGCTACCTCCTGGAACAGCCATTGTCTTCAGCTATGTGGGAAGAGAGTGTAATGGCAGAGAACAAGAAGTTCCCTGGCTGGCGAAAACATCGCCGCACAGATCAATGTGCATTTGGAGCAGTTGATGAGCTTCGGAAGCCAGTGTTGAAAGCCACCGGCATTGAGGCGAACTTAAAGCTACGCCTCAGCCTTCGTCGATGCAATGGACACAATGGAATGCCCCATGCACCTCTACAAGGTCAACATCAAGGCAAGAATCGTACTGCTATGGCAGCTGTCTACCCGACTCGCTTCTGCAAGGCCCTCATCCAGGACATCATTCAATGGTTTCAGAAGCGCAACATTCTGCACATGCGCTTGGTCGACTCATGGACCTATCACCAAGTCCTCTACAAGTGCGAGCGTTGCAAGTTTGGCAGAGCTGCAACAGCTGATATGGAGCGTTCCTTCATTCCGGGAGAATGTCGCCATGGTCGCATGTTCAAGGAACCTTCAGCAGCTCCTTCGGCTGCCTCAAGTCCCACAGCTGACTTTCAACGAGGCATTCGAGCACATGGAGGTATGAGTCAGGTTGAGATACAAGTTCCTGACTCTATGGAGTTCACCGCTGAAGACAAGCTCTACCTGAAAGGCCTGCTGTGTCAATTGGTGAACGACTCCATGACCATCTTCGACGAAGTCACCGACGGCAACTACTCCCGATGGATTGAAGATCCCATCCTGATGACGATTGTGCGCTCATGCCTTCGCAAGATTCTCTATGTCCACGGAGTGTACATCATCCTGCACCCTTTTGCCAAAGCATTTCCGGAACCAAAACTGCGAGCTGAACTTTGTCCACTGCGACTGATCTGTCGAGGCACCTACAAGTCCTGGACAGTTCATCCACTTGAAGATCTTCGTGAAATGTCACCAGCTCAGCAGAGAGAAGCCATTGAGGAGCCTGACTGGATGATTACTTTCTTTGGCGATGTTCGGGAACCCACTTCGACAAGAAGGTCATCTCCAGCCACACCTGCTCCAGTCACTCCAGCTCCTGGCACTCCAATGCCTGGTACACCAGCACCCTTGATGCCTGTACCTGCAACTCCGATGCCACCTGCTGAAGAGACTTCTCAAGCTTTGGTTCCTGTGGATGATGCACCACTACAGGTGGCTCCATATGAAGGAATTTCAGCTGAAGCTGCCAATGCTCGAGCTATCAAACCTCTCTACAGTGTACGACGAGTTCTGCAGAAGCTTCCTTCGATAGCTGCAAGCGATCCGACTCAGGCCAAACGACTCCTACTTGGACTACACGAGAAGATGTGGCATGCAACGGCTGCTGACTTCACTAGCCTACTTCAACGAGCAGGCATGCCGCAAGCCGTGTTGGATCTGATTGGAGAAGCTGTTGCTTCCTGTGCTGTGTGCCGCCGATACTCAAGGCTTCCAAGCAAGCCAAAGAGCAAGGCTACTCTGGCAGCTCAGTTTAATGATGAAGTTGAGATGGACATCTACTTCCTTTGGGGCAAGGCTTTTGTTCTTTTGATCGACGTGGCCACGCGCTACAAGGTAGCTTTTGAGACCCCAACTCGATCTCTTGATGATCTTCTTCGAGGCATGCTTACTCACTGGATCAGGTACTTTGGACCAATGCGCATGCTCACCTCAGATCAAGAGACGTCGTTGATGGGTCCCGCTGCCGCCATTGAGTTTGAACGTCTGGCCATTTGTCGTAATCCCAAAGGCACCACTCAAGGAGAAGCTGCCAAGCGACACACTGGCACAGGTCTAGCAGAACGACACATTGGTTTGACCAAGCTCACCATGGAGAAGGTCAAGGCAGAGCTCGATAGACAAGGACTCACCATGGAAGATGCGGACATTGCTGCTGAGTCCGCAATGTGTCAGAACCTCCTCATGACCTACGGTGGATATACGCCCTGCATGGCAGTGTTTGGAGTTCTTCCTCGCTCATTCTATGAGTTTGAGTCCACCACTTTGACTGCTGTTGATGGAGCTCGAGAACGTGATCCCTACATCTTCGAGTCTGCAATGAGATTGCGTCAAGTTTCTCTGGCTGCAGTTCAGCAGGCCATTGCCGAAGATAGAGTTGCACGAGCCTCTCACAGCCGACCTCAGAAGGTGGACACCTCCGAGCTGACTCCTGGCACATCCATGGTGGAAATTCACCGAGGAGAAAGTTGGCGAGGCCCTGCAGTGCTGTTGGAAGTCAATGAAAATGAAGGCACCGCAATCGTTCGACATCAAGGAAAGCCATATCTGCTTCCTTTGAGATTCGTCCGCCCTTTTCGTGGTGTGTTCTTCAACATGGACACCACAGCTGGCACTACCTTGCATCAGATGATGGCCATGATTGAAGCAGCTCAGCCCTATAAGCAGCACTTCCTCGGCTACAAGCTGATCCTGCGCCACGACGGAGCACATTGGAAGAATATTCCTTCGACTCCTACGGAAGCACAACAGAAGATTCTGTCAGCATTTGGACAATGGGAAGAATGGGCTCAGCACCCCGTCCACGGAGTTCTCTATGGACAAGCATGCCATACACTTCATCCACTACCACACACTCGTGGAACCATCTTGACATGGTTGAAGGGCACCTCTGACTACATCAAGATCCACAAGGAGGATGACAACTCAATGAAGCTCAAGGATGAGTATGGCCAGCGCTGGGAATCTCTTTGCGTCATGTACATCTTCTACTACCCGACCAGCACTGAGATGGCGCCTGCAGAAACACCTCATGGAGACGAAGTGCAATCAGCTCCTGCTCAAGCACCACCTCATGATCCACAAGCTCCCGTGGAGACAGAGAGAGACATCGACTGTGAACTGCCCAGGAAGCGTGGCTCAGCTACCACTGATCCTCCGCTACCAGATCCTGATCCCAAGAAGGCCAAGTTCGATGTCGCTCACAACATCACCACGGAGCTGCAGAACCTTCATACTCTGCAGTGGATGATCGACCGCAAGAGATTCTTCCGCCTGCATAATGAGGCTTTCTGGTCAGAGACCTACTATGTGCCCCGATGGTTCAACAAGATCACCAGAGAGATGGTCACACAGAAGAGCCAAATGCTCCACGAAAAGGCCAAGGAGAGAGGTACCTACTTGGTCCATCTGGCCAGTTCGAAGAAGCGCCACTTTTACCTTGACTTGTCCAACGGTGGCCGCTACATGTCTGTCACCGCAGAGGACACGATCTCAGAGACCGATCTGGCAGAGATTTGGCCATTGGTCGAAGAGGCTGATGGAAAGGAGATGGCGCAATTCGTGGAGGAGAAAGCCTTCGCCAAGATCAAGCTTTCTGACGTTGCTGATGGCACCGTGATCATCGATGGCACCTGGGTCAGACGATGGAAGATGAAGCTTGGCAAGCGAATTGTGAAGTCTCGAATGTGCGCCAGAGGTTGTTTCGACCCTCAAAAGGAACACTTGAGCACGAGGAGCACTACGGCATCTCGTTTGAGTCAACGGATCTTGATGAGCACCGCAGCTTTGATGCAAGTGGATCCTGAATCATGGGATGTTTCTGGTGCTTTCCTCAAGGGACTCTCCTTTGACAAGATCCGCGAGATCCTGCTCTCCCAAGGCATCAAGACACCCACACGATCTGTGGTGTTGATCCCGCCATACAACTGCTGGCGACACCTGGCTGCTGCTGATTCTCAGTTCCACCTGGAACCTGATGAGATTCCACTTTATGGACTACAATGCCTCAAACCAGTGTACGGCCTGAATGACGCACCAGTGGCCTGGCAATTGAGTTTGGGAGTGTTTCTGAAAGAGCAGCACGGTCAAGCTTCTTTGTTGGACGACAGTTTCTACTTCTGGAAGGACCCCAAGAAGAGTCCAACACTACGTGCAGCTCTCACCACTCACGTTGATGACCTTGCAGTCGTTGGTGGTGGCAACTTCATGGACGACCTCTACAAGACAATGTGCAAGAAGTTTGGCAAGATTTCCAAAGAAAAGTTGCCATTTCCTCACTGCGGCTGTCTGTACTCCAAGACTAAGGACGGCTACAAGATCGATCAGACTGAATTCGCCACGAAGCTAAAGCCATCCACGAATCCTCCTGGAGATGATGAGAGAGCACTGACCGCATCTGAAGTCACCGACTTGCGCTCAGTTGTTGGAGGTTTGCTCTGGCTGTGTTCAACACGATTGGACCTGGTGGCCGACGTGGGAGTACTACAATCAGCAGTATCTGCTCCTAAGGTGAAGCATCTTCGAGCTGCAAATCTTCTGGTCAAGAAGGCAAGCAGTCCCGACCGTGTTCAATTGGGCCTGCACTTTCGCTACTTCCATGGAGCATCCAGCTTCCGCCTTCAGTGCATACATGATGCATCCTCTCCAAGCAAGGGACGCTCCTATGCTCAAGAGGGAGTCATGGTCCTGCTCATGCCCGAACTGCCTCAGCACATCCTCAACCAGGACGAGATCACTTGTGATGATGCAACTACATCACAGCTGAACGGCTATGGGCACCTCCTTTTCGCTCATGGAGGAAAAGCTAAGAGAGTGTCATACTCAACCTCACATGCCGAGACATTGTCGGCAGTGAACGGCTTGGAAGCGAGCAGCATGGTCAGTACTCGACTGACTGAACTTTGGATGGACAAAGCCAAGCCGACCTTGAAGGACCTCACTCAGCACCAAGAAGAAGGCTCACGTATGTTTCCAGTGGACTCCGCCACAGACTGCAGAGACTTCTATGAGCTGAGCACCGGATCTCGTGCTGTGCCTCAGGACAAGTTGCAGAGGCTCTACATCGCCGCCATCAAGGAGGCACGAGTCACTGGTCGCCTTCGCTACTTCATGCTCATTCCAACTCAGAGCATGCTGGCTGATGCATTGACCAAGCCAATGATAGCACCACAGATGATGGAGTTTTTGAGCTCAGGACACCTCTTCATGAAGAACGAGCCCAAGCATGTAGTGTTGCTTCGCCGCCTTCCTACACTTGAAGACCTTCGAGAAGAAGATTTATGGAAGAGCGATGACCAGATTGCAAAAGAAGTACATCAAGGATCCAAGATGGCAAAATTGGCCTGCCTGACAAGCTTCAAACTGAAGCCATGGATTGCCACCCTGGCAATGACATCATTGATGATGACCACCGTGTCTGCACAAGGCCAAAATGAACCACCGAGGCCAAATGAAAGCTCCAACGACTGGACATTCCTGATCATGATCTTCGTCACCTATATGGCCCTTCGTTTTGGCGAGTTCCTTGTGACGTCAGGCATTCAAAGCCTTCTGCCTCGAAAGAAAATTGCCAGTCCACCATCTACTCCGCCGAACTGTCCAGCTGGAACACCAAGGACCCTGAATTTAGATGGATCTTCATCGACTTCCTCTACGGCACGACCAAAGCCGAGCTCTATTCCTGCGCCTTCCGCTGCTGTTCCAAAGATGCCTGCACCTGGCAGCCCGATCATCGACTGGTCTGCATCTGGCACGACAGTGTTCAAGCAGCCGCCGCCTGCGCCGCCGACTGAGAGCGCATCTAGCTCTGGCCCTGGCTATGAGCGCGTGTACTTCACCGCTACTGGTGAATGCTTTCATGTGAATCCGCAATGCGGACACTTGAGACATCATAATGTGATGTCAAAACGCAATTGCAAAGACTGCTCCAGGATCCGAAACGCCAGTGGAGTTTAAAGATTTCCACTGATGTCACTTTTTGTCATGACACCTTTTCACGATCGCAGAGCGCTCTTGAGCTGGTTCAAAAGTCCGTCCTACCGACTCCCCCATTCGCAGAAACCACCACACAACTCATAGTCCCAAACCATGAATCTCAAGTCGTCCGATATCTCAGATGAGCTTTACCTGCCGCACGGAGCACATCCCCTCGTTGGACCCTTCTTTGCAACCGACCCTGGTGGCCGTCTACGGCTGTCAGCCCTGGACGCTGGAAGGGCTGAACGAGGCACGGGAAATCCATGAGGCCTCCGGGATGAGGTAAGTATGAATTATAGTAGCGTCTCCCTAGTAGCTTTTTGTTACTAGTAGCGATGGCCTCCAACCTAATAGCAATGGCCTCCATCTAGCAGCGTCCTCGTTGCAAATCGATTCAATAGATATGCTGTATGTAGTGCTGTATGTACAAAATGGTAATTGGTGCACTCTTCCATTCTAATTGAGGATGCTTAAGGTGTTTTCAAGTCGCACAGGCGCCGTGCCAGTTTCCAATGGGAGTCCAGAGTTGGAGTGGACTCTCCCTGTTTATAGCGTTTGGAACTTAGAGCCCTGGACGTTTTGGCCACAAATATCGGCAGGTCACATATATGGAGATCACTCTGTCGCAGTGTCTCAGCATCATGTTCAGTTGGCGCTTGAGGGTCCGGGCTCAGTGCAAGCCTTAGCAGGTTGGGCCTCTTCCTTTTTTGGTTCCGAGCTCCAATCCCAAACCAAGTGGATGACGATGTAGAAGGAACACTATCTTTTGTGGGCGCTCTAGACCTTTCTAACTGTTCGGTGGTGTTCTTGGGATTTAGAGCTTTTGGAGCCCCTTTTATGATCTTTTTTGAGAATGCAGGACTGCACCTGAACAACCCATTGACAATGGCTTCCTTTTCAGTTGCTGCAGCGCGCTGCGTTTGTGGTTTGCGTGAAGGTTACCCTTTGATTGGTATGAAGTTATGACTTTCGTTGCTGGTAGCTGCAGGTTCAACACTTTTCAGGAAGGGAGGCCATGCTATAGCATGTTGTAGCCCTCTCAAAAACCTATCCCAAAACTCGAAAATGCCACAGCTGGCGAACCTCTTCTGTCTGGGGGTGAAACGTTTTGCCAAGGATTTGCAGTTTGCCTGCCAATACATCATTCCCATCAATTACTGCTGTCAAAGTCTTTGCCAGCATCTTGCTTGCATTCAGCTCAGGTGTAGCTCAGCTGAGGTCATTTTGGGTTGGTCTCTCAGCACGCTCGGTGTACAAAACCTCGATTTGTGCAGAGAAGCCCAGGTAGGAGCTCTAGACCTCGTGCTCCGGCACTTTTGCCTCCTCATGCCTCTCATTCTTCTACAAATCTATACCTCCCAGACTCCATGCGACGCCTGGCTTTCTTTCGAGGCGACCCGGCAGCCGCCGCGGATGGTTCGCTCCTGCGGCGCCGCGGCGAAGCGTTCACTCGGGGAGCGGTGGACCACGCAGACCCGGTTGAAAGACCCCGAAGCTTTTAAGATATATAAATGAGGTCAGTCGGTCAGTCAACAAAGGACAGGCATTCTGCGGGATGTTGCTCGTGGCAAGATCGACTCAAAGAAATTCTGCTTCGCCACTGTGCACCTCAAATTGAAGAATATGGAGTCAAGATGTGGTTACTTGGTAGACATCAGTTGTGAACCGCAGGAAGCTGGAAACCCCATGCCAAGTGTTGCACAATCGCGCATTTTCTACAGGTACACACACACATATATATATATATATATATATTTTTTTTTGGAAATATAATATATGTATTATAGAATATAGTATATACAACTGTACCAGGTGCTTCTGTTGTTTTGAAGGGAACTGACCCATGCCATCAAGGCCACACTGCTGTGCTTCGTGCAGAGTCTTTTATTGGTGAAGCCACAGCCGCCAATATCCGAGGATCTCAGGCACTTTCCCCAAGCTTCAGCAGCTGCACTTGCACATGCGTCCCAACCTGCTACCGTCGATGTGCCTCTCGAATTTTGCCCCTTGGAAGGAAACTATGCGGGCCGTGGGCCATTTCGGGGGACATCCCTGTGGGGCGAGGTTCCGGCATTTTCAGTTCCGATGTCCATGACATGTCCTGGCAAAGCTTTGGCCCAGTGATGGCCAGTTAGTTCAGGATTCTGTTGATATGATTCCCCCAACTTGCCGTTGCAGCTGCTGAGGAGAGGCCAACAAACCTTTGCGGGTTTGATCCATTTAAAGTCTAAGTTGCGTTCAATCATGTTCAATCCATTTGCTTGTCCTTTTTTTGCTGGATTTGGAAGGAACATGTTTTGATTCACTCAGACCGCACTGTTTTTGCTTGAGGTGTATAGATCCAAACGCACGCACCTCGCCCACCTTGCTTGAACTAATTAGTTTTGTCAATGCAGCCCTGGTGGCTCCAGCTTCACGACCCGCCATGCATATCAAAGAAATTGGGAGGCACTATGCAAATCACTTGAACCCCTTTGAGATTGAGAAGGCCCCAGCACAATGCAGATGTGGATGAGACTTTGCCAGTAGTTTGGAGGCACGAATTCCTAAAGCGCCTCCTAACCGTACATGTTGAACACTGTTCGACTCCGCCTGGCCATGGGCGTGCCCTCAACGGTTTTCGGTCAGCGGCAGATCCACTACAAGAAGGCGCATCCAGCCGACCCTTTTTTTGCATTTTTCTGCGCAGTGGATGGGCAACTGAAAGACCGTGTGCAGGTTGGACATGGGCTGCAGGCGCCCTTCAATTACCAAGCGTTCGTGTTCCATGTCAATCGTTGAGGGGGTAATGTCATGGATCTTCAATGTTGGACGACATTGGACAATCATTTGCAATGACTTTCCTTTTGCCATTGGGTCCATCATGTCATGAAGAATTGCAACGAGAGACGAGCACGCAGAGAACCCCCATGTACCATGTGGGCCGTGGGTAGAGGCTGTACATGGGTTGAGCCTCGCCAAAGCCATGGACGCCAGGGTCAAGATGCTGTATGAATTGGGGGCTTGCAAACCCGCCAGACCCACCCACAATAGAAGGGCTTGCAAACAAGATGAGGCAGAAGGGTTTAGATAGGCGGTATATGTGGAGAAGCTTGCAATATCCTGGACTGGCGGTAGATCGATCATACGTGATCCGGTCTTCTATGGGGCCTGCTGCTTGTGGTTGAGGAGATTCGGAAGTGGACCAAGCAATTTGTGAAGTTCAGGGAGTTCAACATCAAGCAAGGCTGGAGATGTCCAAGATCCAAAACATGCCCAGTGGTCAGGGGCAGGCGGCCGGGTCCCTTTTCTAATAATTCATATTGGAACGGCAGTGTTTCAATATGCATATGTGCCTCAGGAATATATCTTTTTACCCCTGCGGCAGCACAAGAGGGTTTGCCAAGGGAGGCATGCTGGGGAGCCGTGATGTTTTGGTGGCAACCGGATGCAGTGGGAAGGCAAATGGCCGCAGTTATACTGCATATGCAAACCACTGCAAACCAACGAAATTGACATGTATCTAAATGATTCTAAATGTAGGGACAGTTTCGCGAATTCGGCATATCAAGAAGCCTTGTTATGCTCCTTATTCACTCATCATTAAAGTAGTGATGAGAGATTGAGATACACAACCACCACCCTCAAAATCCTTTACGTCAGTCATCCTTTCCTGTCGTAATCCACAGACGTGTGACCTCCGAGACCGCCGACATGCACGGCCACTTCACTGGCCCAGCCTTCATTTGGACCGCGGGGTGCGCACAGATGGCTGGGACCGAAGTGGCGCCAGTGGCCCAGAGCGGGGGCATCTCAGAGCCTGGGCGCGGCTGCCGGGCTACACTGAGAAGAGCCTCGTTTTCGTTTCGAAAATGGCACATATCACATGGAATGTCACATGGAGTTTCTTGGAATTGTTCAAGAAATCGGGCAAATTTATATAAGTAGGTTCATCCTGTTTTCCCCGGAAAATTGGAAGAGCTAACACATTCTTGTGGATGGCCTTGCCCTCGAGCACTAGAACAAACAGGATGAACATGAGATTGACTCAGTAAAGATTTGGATCCAAGTTGTTCCTCTTACCGACCGATGGTTTGGCAAAGAGAACCGTGCCGAATTCGAATCCACACCACGCCAAGGAGCCGAAAAAGGGACAAGTCTCCTGCTGCCCGAGAGGATCCAGATGCTGAGTGATCCAGACGCACCACCCCGTCCAGAGGATGGATCTGGAGAAGTGAACGGCTGTTCCGCGTTTGAAAGCGGAGTTGCTTGGGGCCGCCCGGGTGCTGCATGAGAGGGCAATGGAATCACCATCCTGCCGGGGAAGACCTGCATTGTTTCTCTGGCCGTTGCAGAGCAGTCGTTGGTTCACAAGCTCGTGGTTTTCTCGAGATTTGCCACACAATCCGGAGCAGCACGCCTCAGCACGCCTCGGTTAAAAAGGAGCAATCATCACCCAAGGGGCCCAACGCACTATGAACCTTGCAGATGTTAGGACGCCACGACGAGTTTTGTGGCTCCCATTGGTTCCTTGCGTTTTTGTGTGAGAGAAGATGGATGTTTGTGTCTGGTCTTTGCAGGCATCCTTGCTGACTTTGACCCATCCATGGAGGGTCATGCATTGGATTTCAGATGGTTTCATCTCCCGACCAATCCCAGGTGGCCAGCGCAGACTTCCGAATCACCTTTGAAGTGCTCCCAGGCACCGAGCGAACGAGGGACAGCAGTGGTAGCAGTGGAACGACATGGAACGACAGGCTGTGAGGAACATGTGAGAGGATACTTTTGGACAAAGCACCGGGAGAGAGGATGTGAGTGAATTTTGCCGAACTGAGGTGAACGAGAAGACGCAAAAAGGAACGGTAACCACTGACCACTGGTCAAATATATTCACCCAGCATTGCATCCTTCTGATCCAAGCCACACCTGACACATCCTGACACCAATCCCTTGATGAGAGCTGTAAAGCGGCCCAAGCGCAGGAACGCCATTAGGTGAGGGTGTGGAGGGCAGCTTCTTTACAGTCTTTTGGCGGCAGAAGTTGCAGGAACGGGTGGGTCCGTTGGCTACCGGCTTACGGGCCTGTATAACATTGATATATATATATATAATTTCAATATAATTAATCATATTAGTCTAACGTTATTACTCTCTTTGTAGGGGTGGGACACATTTTCAAGTGAGTCAGGCTATGTGGCACTTCGCGGCTTCACATCATTTCCGGGTTCGTTCGCATTGACGTCCCCCAGTCACCGTTGTCACCCCGAGGCAGCGAACCTGCTGAAGATGCCCTTCTCCTGCGAAGGCAACGAAGACGTCCAGAAGAGTCATAGAGCATTTGGAACCTGGTCGAATCCATTGACGTATTGCTCATGAGGAATTTGGAACCTCTCTGGAATTCAACCTGGTCCGAGGGCTCAAAGTGTTCATGTGATGAAAGCACCGAATCTTCTTGGGTCAGCTGGGGCTGTTAAAGAGGTACATGTTTTCCGGAGCCGCATGCCACCCGCGCTTGTGTCCAGGAGGCATGTTCCAGCGTCTGCAAAGGTTGCAGATGGACCTGCTTCTGCGAACAGGCCGGCAAATCTACGTGTTTGAGATAGCAACATTTAAAAGATTTACAAGCTCACCAAGTGGCACTGGTAACCTATCACATGAAGTATCGGTAGTGTCGGAAACTGTTCACATTAAGTCACTGAGGCCACAAAGTCTCATCTACAAATGATTCCGAAGGTCAAGGTAGCTCAAAAAGGTCTTTGAAACTTGCCTCCGGTCAGTGTTTGATTCTTCACACCCTCCAGGACCTGGGGTTTCTCAGCAGTTCATCCCGTTCTCAGATAGAGAGAGTACAACCTACCACTTTCTGCCACAGAGCGCTACCATGCTCAACCGATCGCATCCTATAATCCCGCGCCATGCTCCTTTTACCAAAGAGTTCATCCAGGCCGTGGTCTTGTTACTTGCTGCATTCCCACATGCTGGTCGGATCGTATTGCTCTATGTCACTGATTGCCATCACCACCGACCACCAATTGCAGACCATAACTGATTGCAGACCATAACTGTTGAAGAAATCCTGCACAACCCAAAAAAGAGACCAAACCAAGGACGGCCATGTTTGTTCGTCGTCAACGGCAGCGAATCGCCAGCTTCGACGCGAATCGCCTGCAGCCGAACTCGGTCGGGGAAGTCCGAACGCGTCTGGCGGGCCCAGGCCTCCAGCCCTTCGCTGGCGTTTTGCGCGCGGCGCCCTGCCTCAAACGCCTGGGCACCATTTCACTGCCCTTGTTCCGGTTGCTGGAGCCGGCGCGGGAAGTCATGGGGGGTGGGGGTGGGGGATCTGAGATGATGAGACAGGAGACAGATCTGTACAATTCTTTACAGGATCTTTTGGGCTCAGTTTGTTGGGAATAGAATGGGCCACAGATTTGATTTGCTAGAAGTTCTTCTGTGCCAAAATGTTGGAGCCAATCTGGGCGGTCATAACTATAATTATCCATCACCCTACATGAACTATATAAATGGAACGTGCTCAGGAGAACATCTCCGAGAACAAAAAGCAGATAGACCACTCTGGATGAGGCTTTCCTCGACAATCCCAGTGGCTTAAGGTGTCAGTTTGATGAACCAGGTAACCAGAGCTCACAGGTTTTAAGCTTTTGGAGCTGCCAATCTTGATAGAAGTAACGGATGCGAGTGTGGCCTCAGGTGGACGAAGAGAGATGGAAGATCTGTAGATAGACTGGCTAGTAGTAATGTAAAGTGAGATAGACTGCGCTCATACAGATATGGGGCCCATTGCGTTTGATCAACCTTTGGCCTTTTGAGTAAGCACATGGTGCTGCACCATCATCCACTGTCACAGGTGGGGTGTGGGATCCAAATTTCATCACATTTCTAGCCAGACTGGGACTTTGTGGCGGTGCCACGAGCTCCATCACATCCGGCCAGTGGACCATTTTGTCATGCTAGGCCGTGCGAGTTGATGCCAAGGGTTGATGAAACGAGCATCACTCCGCCGCATCACTGCACTAATGAAATGCATAATACATCATAGTACATACCAAGACACAGCGGATGTTACAATGTTCACCTGGATGCCAATGTTCAATCTTCACGCCTCCTTGGAGGCACAGAAGGATGCCTTCAAATTGGAGGAGGTGGTGCTCGCCATGGAGATTGAGGATTGAAACCAAGGGACAGGAGGATGTTTGGCAAGGGTGCCTGCGGGTGCTTCAAGAGGGGCAAGGATACATAGGTAAGGCCTGCCTCTGAAGAAATGGCGTAGCAAATTTAAAGGCATCCAAAGACTATATAGATGTATATAGTATAGTTTGGAATGTTTAGAAGGCCCCAAGGTTCCCAAGGGATCTCTAAAATACCCCCTCGTGGGTCCTGGTTGGAGTTGATAGCTCTGAGATGCCGTTTATGATCTTCAAGCACTCTTGGGGAGAGCTGCCAGTTGTTCGCTTGGGGAGCCGTGTTCGGTAGAAAGACTTGGTTTTGGATGGTTTTGGCACCACCTTTTAAAGGAAGATAATTTCATTCAACTACTAGAGTTCTATGGCTGGGGCAGCCATCCTGTAGCCTTCTTGTGGGTGATCGTCACCCATGGTTAGCCACCATTGGTGTCGCTTTGGGAAGGACTGCTTGAGCCTCTTCAACATGTTGGTGCCGCTGTCTATGACTGGGAACCGATGCACTCTTCGGAGGCTGCTTGCCCGATGGGGAATCAGAGATTGTTGTCACAGTCTACGGTGGGAGAATTCACTGTGCCATCGGGTGAAGCTCCACAAATTTCAACAATGAGGGACTTGGCATGCATCCTTTACAGATGGAACACCGTTTTGTTTCTTGTGGTTGGGTCCCGGAGGACGTAAGGAACACCCTTGGCATGCATCTGAATCTTGTGGGAGTGACTCCCTGAGGCTCTCATTGCACCTTCAGGCTCCGGATGGCTTGCTGCCACCCAAGGAGGTGGGCCGGTGGGTTGGTGGGTTGGTGCTCCGTGACGGAGTCACCAACACAGGGTGCTACAACCGGGTTCGTGGGGGCTTGCGGCTTGCGTGGTGATATTTTTGCCATCAGCATCCATGAGTTTCAGCCTGATCTCCCCCCACAGATGTTTCATGATTGTTGGGGCGCCCAAAACACATCCTACTTGTACTTTTCTGTCCTCCTTCTCTCCTTCCAGTCATCGCGTCCAATGATTCAATTCAATGGCTAGATGTCACCATGACCCAGATGTGGCGAGTGGGCCAACACCAGGATACCTTGCTATACCTACCGGCGTTCTTCGTCGTTCGCTGTAGGGAACCATGGTGAACAGGGGCGGGGGCTACAGGTTTTGACCCTTTCGATCCATGTCGATCCTCGACCTCGCCTCAGGAGGTCGAGGGCTTCCTTTGCTCCGGCTTCTTGTGTTTGTCTGAGTGCCTGGCAGAGCAGAGCTTCATCCACTTCACACAGAGTCAGGAGCAGCTCGTGGAGACCGTCCGGGCTCCACAGAACTGCACATCCTGACGGGAGATTCTCGCTGGTTGGTGGTTGAATATATATATATATATACATATAGGTTTTGTTCATGTGTTATATTCCCTCTTCACCTTGCAATAGTGAATCTCAATGACTGATGGTCAGGTGAGTTGAAGCATGTTGAAGCCAATGAAACAAGAGCATTACCGTGGAACATGGACCATACGAAGGAGGATGCGAACGACGGGGCTCCCTTGTTGCATCTACTATCGGGATTATTTTAGGTCCTGACCACAGGTTGAAGGCCTAGCCTCGCCTCCAAATGTTTTCAGGAATTGTTGGGGAGTGGCCCAAGTAGCTGAGCTATTTTGGATCTGGGCAAGGAACATTGAGACACTTCCTAGTTTTGACATAAGCACTTTTCCATCGGAGGCCAAGAACTCAAACAGCAGAAAGAGCTCAAACATGGCCCCTTTAAACCAGTCGCTGAGGATGGTTTGAGCATGTGACATGACCTCTCAGTAAGTATATACCTCAGTAAAACACCCCCGGAATCAGCAGAAACTCCTTGCAATCTCCAAGTTATATCACTTTTGCTGTTTTTCTGTGTGCTCTCTTCTCTGGATGAGACCTCCGCACCTGCCCAACTTGAATCAAAAGCATCTGAAGTCTTACTTAAATAAAGACAAATCATTATCATCAAATTTCATTACATTTCATAAACTCTCCAGAGCCTTGCACATTACCACTTTCCATGAACCCCCATTGACCCTATGCCCGCCATCTCCAACACTCCATCGAGGTCTTCTTCCAGCTGCCCTTTGCGGCCCCGGAGTTCTTCTCGGCGGACTTCGCCAGCTGCGGACCCCAAGGGCCCACCTCGACGCCCCTCAGCAGGCGCCGGGGGCGTCCGGGAGTCCGGGGCGTGCACCCTGGGCCGCCGGTGCGGCGTGAAAAAGGCCACGCACGCTGGGCATAAGTTAGGATAGAGTGACCTCCCAATGCCCGAAGCTAGGAAAGAGGGAGATGAAGCACAAATACTTAGCAAGACATTCCGAAGAGGCAGCTGGCACCAAGAGTCGGCAAAAACATATTTCTAGCACCAGCAAACCATCTACCAGAGCGGTCCTGCTGCATTGGTGGACTTCCTCGAGGCCTTTGCAGCGCATGGATGCGCTCCCTGAGCAGCGGCCCTCCGGCACCCTGATCTCTGGGCGCCTACGGCCCAGCATGGCAGAGTCTTGGATGAACAGCACAATGCGCCGATGAACGCCGGTGGAGATTGGCTGCTGTGAATCTTTTGTGTACAATCACAAGAATGGCATAGCATGGCGCATTTCGGGCCCCGTGTTAGCTTCTGAGAAGATCAGAAGGTCCTTCCATGCAAGACCACCAAGTACTACAGAAGTGTCCATTCAAAAACACAAATGGCTCTAATGATCTCCAGTGTGTTTCCTCGTAGGTCCTCATCACAATGCCCTCTCCGGATGCACAATCCCCTCCCCTAGAAGGTGCAGAGTCCAGAAGATCTAACAGCTTTTGGAGAGGCCTGCCGGCAGCCTGCCGGGATAATGATGTAAGATGATGTAAGAACAGGCAGGTCAAAGAAGGAAACACCAATATATCAATCTCATCAGTTTTGGGAGACACATTTGCTGAAAGGAGCCCACAGAAAAAGATGGAAAGAATGAAGGAACAAGACGAAAAGGAAAGGGAACAGTGAAAGAAAAAGCCAGGGGAGAAGGGACAAGTCAATGAGGGGATGCCGAGGCTCGGTGTAACAACATGAGTGAAAGATAGTGAAAGTGAACTGTTCAGGGGGACATTTTGGCTGGTTACAATTAACTCTCTTTGCTGTTGCCCACCAGCTCTCGTGGAATTGGCTCGGTGGGGGGTTGTAAATCCCAAGGTTCAGGCCCGATTCGTACCTGCCCCGAAGAAGGTCAGGGACTGGTCGCACATGTTTGGATCCCCGTTCGCAAGTTTGATACAGTTACGATCTTCCGTTTGAGCCATTCCGGTCATGTCAGATCTTTAACGATCGGATCGCCCCACCCCGCGCAGCGGATTTTCGTCGTTTTCGCCCCATCGGATCCCTCCGAGGAGTTGGCCTCGCAAAGGCCGCAGAGGCACAACCTGTGGCGGCCCCGGAGCGACCGAGGGAGGAGCCGCGGATGTTCTGAAAGCGTTTGCGGGTGCCGGGGAGTGGAGGAAGGAACAACAGTGGTGGGTTGACCAACTGGTTGACCATTGTGGAAGTGGACATGTTTGGAGAGGAACATCCTAGTCGAGAGCGGTTGTTGAAGAGGTGGTTTGAGATGGACAAGATTGGACAAGTGCGTGCATGACAGATTGTCCGGCACGAGCCCCAAACTGTTGATATGATATGATAATTATGATATGATTGGAACATGTGATGATTCCTCTTGCTGAATGTCAATGGGGGGTAGGGGTAGAGGAGCGCTCCTGACCTGCCCAAAACATCCCAAAACCACATGCACCCATCTCTGAATGGACATCTCCCAAGTATTGCACCCATCCTTCCGTTCATTTAAGGTCTTTATAGGCTGTAGATCATGTCCTGTGGCTGCATAGGGGTTTGACCCACAGCCTCCTACCAATCGTTCGCCTTGCTGAGGCATGCAGTGCTGCCCGAGGGCATGCAGCTGAAACTGCCACTCGGCTTGGTCATACGATCGACGGTTGGGGGAGATTGTAAGGGACATTGGGAGAGGAAACGGTCAACGATGTCATTCGGGGGTAAACTCTTTCGAGGCACAATCAGAAGAAGAGCTACTTATATATATATATAGATGTGTGTTTGATTGGTGTATTCTGGGTGAGCGTGCCTGGTGTGCTGGCATTGATGGATTTGCTCTTCGTTCGGGCGCAGCCGGACAAACCATGAGAAACCCGTGCTAACCCTGCGGCTAGCCCTGCTGGTGGCCGATTCAACGCCAAGGCTTCATGTGATCGATAGTTTGGGCAGCTGGAAGGAAGAGATGGGCTTCCGGACCTAGGCAGTGAGAGCGAGGGAGGGCGGTTCGAAGTGCTGACAACTTGAGAAACGTGTTGCTGCAAAATCAATCACACGTGCTACAAAAGAGTAATAGTTATATATACTGTATATATAGGATGTTTGCTGGCATTCTTCTTGCTTCTAGCTTGATATCGCAAAACAACCTCCTGATTGGCGGCCGTAATGCGCTGCAAAAAGCAGCTTTCCTTGGCCCTTCGGGGTGTCATTCCATGGTGCGGGCTTTCGTGGCTGCGATGGATTCCTTGACTCAGGGTTGGGTTACCTGTTGCAGTCTACACTGGCCCAAACAACTGCGGTAGGGGTTGTAACTACAATGGTTTAGACATGTTTAGACGCAAATCCAGGGTCTCAGACAATATGGGTTTCAGGGCAAGCTCGCCCATGCCGGTTCCGGTGTTGGTAGGAGGGTTCTAGGAGGTCGCTTGGGTTTCAACTCTGATTCTTGTGGCGTGGCTTGAGGTTTTAAGAATGTTTAGATCCCAAAATGCATAGAAAATATAGACACGTAGATCTCCACTAAAATGTATTGGACACTGTGCCACTATCTATTTTTTGGGGATCACTATAGAAGTACTGGTAGTTTCTGGCAGCTGTGGCGCTTGGACATTGTCAAAGTTTGTAGAAGATGTTTGATTCTTGGCAGACAGGGGTGACTAGCATCAGTGGGGCTGATTGATTTATCGAGCACTCCTTGCTCCTAGTAGCGTTCTTGCTCCTAGTAGTGAGGCCAGGAGCCCCTAGAGGCGATGCCCTTTGCTCCTAGAGGCGATGCCCTGTGCTCCTAGTAGCGATGCCCTTTGCCTTTCATTCGTCAAGGTGCCAAATCAAAGGTCCGACATGACACCGCTGCAAAAATTGTAGCACCCGATGCTGGGGATTGTGGCCCACATGGCCTGAGCAGTGAAAGGCTGGCAGGCATGCGAAAAGAAAAGTGGCGAGCCGGGTTGCCTACAGACCCCCAAAACTACGGTAACATGACCTTTACACAGTGCACTTCATTGTGTAGAAAATTCGTTTGAAAATGGGGAATCAATTGGCACTGATGGGAGGAAGAAGGCTGTTTGGCAACAGTTCCTTGATGCAGGAGCGCTAGGTTTCAGTTGTGCTCAGTTGTTATTTTTGTGACTTTGATAAGGGCAGGTCCTCTTGCGTTTGCTTCCCCTGAGCCATGACGTTGTCCTGCTCGTACTTGAAGCAGAAAACTTGCCAAAACAGCAGAGGCCTTGCGTCCTTGTTTTGATGTGGACAAAAGGGTCTCAGATGATTGGCGGGATTTTCTTGGCTGAGCTGGATGCAGTTGGATGTTTGGGCTATATTCTTGTTCAGACTGCTCGTAATTAGGTCATGCACCCACGTGTGCCATAGGGAAATCAGTTCTGGGAAGGCTTGCACTGACACTAGAATGATCATACCAGCCCTCTACAAACTGATGGGGCGAACATGACTGCCGGCCTTGCCGGTCTTGCTTCTCGGTTGGGAACGGACCAGCGGGGTGGGGCATTCTTTGGACCGCGGCCCTCGAGCGAGGTTGGTAGCTACGCCGCTGAATTGGCCTGGAATAGGATGGATTTGGGATTTCCTTTTTCTGAGGATGACGTGCTACGGTAGACCCCAGTGCATGTGAACTAGGGCCAGGACATGAGAAAGAAAGGGGTACGGGATTGGTGGCTAATATGCCAGATTATGCCAGTTGGCCAGAAGCTTTCAATCAGCCTGGAAGTGTCCCAAGAAAAGCCCGTGAGATGGATGTGGGGTGAGGTACACAATCATGTTTAAACGACCTCCTTCAACCATTGTACAACAAATTTTAAGTTGGAGGGGTGGCAAAAGCTCTTTTTCTTGGTTTGGCCTTTAGCTTGGAAGCGCTTCACATGTAGGTCATTTCCAAGTGTTCATGCTTGTCCACTTGCTGGTCAGCACAAACTCAACAAGTGAACCGGTGATGGACTCAGCTTGCACCGCTTGAGTGAAATCACGGAGGGGAATCCCAGAGAACCATCTGCACTAGCGCTGTTTGGGACCGGCATGTCGGTTCACCAGCGGCCCATTTCGGTGCCACCTGGGCGGCAACCATTTGTGTGCAGGTTGGGCCTACAGGCAATCCATTAACATCCACTAGCTAGGTGGTGGTTTCGGACATTTTTTAATGTTCAACCGGGATGATTGAACCCACTGACTAGTACGTACACTAATACACTAATTGTGATTGAACCCACTGTTCCATCTGTGTCAAGTGAGTTGACCATGTTGAAACCACTAGCCAGATTAATGAGCCGCTTGGCAACCATTGGAGGTCATGATTTTCCCTTTGATGATCCGCCTGGTGCATTGATCGGCGCTTTTTATGCTCGACTCTTGGGGCTGGTGTCAACGTACCCTGCATGCTTGAGTCGTTGATTTCTGCGGGCCGTTCTGCGTGATGGGGCCTCATGATAGATTTAAACCTGGTAAGGTAAGCTGCAGGTTTCCAAAGGGATTGAATGAGCTGCGAGCTGCTTGTGCCTACAGTTCAGTTTGGTGAGGCTAGGGTTGCACAAGACACATTGGCATGGATAATTAAGGATTGTAAATATCATGGCTTGTCAAGGGTTCCAGGCCCTGCAGTTCTCCCAGGATTCCGATGGGCAGAGAGTTTCCCAGGCTTTCCAGGTGTTTCAACCCCCCCAGCCTTCCCTAGCGGTGGATATCGGTTACCAGGTTGAGTGGCATTGAGTGGCAAATATGTTGACCGTTGAGCGTTGTAAGTTGTAAGACAACTCTTGAACGCCAGAGGGCGTGGTCTTACAGAGTTGTGCGACCCCTCAACTTCACAGAGCGGCTTTGCTTCGTGCTTTGCTCGAGACGTCTCACGCGTTCGAAGTTCCTTGCATGTCATGAAGGATAAAGCACCGCGTGCCGCATGTGGGACGCGGCCATAGATCAGCGATAGTCAAATTCCGGTTTGACAAGGGGCCCGAGCTTTTATATAGATGCATAAGTAGATTATATATATAGTTATATATTTTGGGGATAGGGGTAGGAAGGTTCCCAGCAGTACTCCGTCCTCCTTGAACACAGAAAGTGTTGGGACATGTTGGGAATCTTTGTGCTATGGCGGCCGAAGGTCAACGTTTTTTTGTCGTTCCTGTCTCTGACTCATATGCATTTGGCCGATTCAAGTTGTTGTCATTTGCATGAGTCTAAATGAAACCGGGATGTTTGGATTTGACCCCCAACCCCCCCAAACCCC